TGCTTATTCTAACTTGGGGAAATTGGTGGGGTTTATATATCTGTGAGCTAAGCGACTAAGCGACTGAGCGACTAAGCAACTAAGCAACTAAGCAACTAAGCGACTAAGCGACATGTTAATAATAATACAAGATAATAATAATAATATTCTAAAATAATAATTAATAAATAATAATTAATAAAATAATAAACTAATAATTAATTCGTTCTATAACAATATATAAAATAGAAAAATTTACTATATAAAAATGCAATATTTGATGAATTTCTATACAAAATTTTCTTTTTTAAAAGATATCTAAAACCATATTCATTCATATGTTTTTGACTATTTAGTTAAAATTAGGATAAGGGTTAGTTTGGGTTAGAGTTAGAGTATTTTTTTATAGTAAAATTGCTCTTCTAACATTTTTTATTAATACTTCGAGATAAGTTTAGATACTTGTTTCTTTGTTTTTTGTGTTTTTTTTTACTTTTTTGTCTGTTTTTTTTTCTTCAGGCTGATCTGTATTGATCAAAATAAACGATTTTATTGGCTTTGTGTCACATGATTGGACACAGCTTTAGACGACCTCTTTTTTGGTAATATATAAGTTGTATTGGAATTTTTTGAGGTCCTGGTCCTATTATAGAGGTGCAATATATAGTATTGTACTATGCAATAAATTATAAAATCTTTTTTTAATATCTGAGTAGTTTATCTTAAATTATATTACTTTAAATTTTAAAAAAATTATACAGTCAACTCTCTCTAAGTGCATATTGCCGGGACCAGTACTTTGATCTGCATTTAGAGAGAACCTTTCTTTTAAACCCGCTTTTTTAAAATTTTACTTTTTTTTTTTTTTTTTTTTAGAATAGTCTTCTTGAATTTAGTTAAAACGTTATATAGATCCGCTTTATATTAGTTTTTTTTTTTTTTTTTCCTATATAAGAGATAAAATGCTAAAACATACGTCTGATTTAATTACAGTAGAATTTTCGTCACATATAATTAAATTCTTTATGGCTATACTATACTATTTTATATATAATACATATTATGAATATAGTATACAAGTTTTATATACTCAAATGTGATTTTTTGCATTATACTCTACTACTCTACTAAGCCATACTCTACTACTATTTGTAATACTATTTGAAAGGCCATCTCTTCCCATCATACAAATTTGAGTGGTGGTGTTCATAAGTCACAGCTTTACTTTTGTCATATATATATATATATAGAAATTGGAACTAACTCAATTTTTTATTAGATTTAACATATGAAAAATAAAGCCGGATCCAAATTCTAGACGAATATAAAATGTCTGAATCAACTTGAATAACATACAAGCCCTGCCAGGGGTCTAGACACTTTTGCAGTAACGTGACATGGCACATAGAAAATGACCAATCGGAATTCGTAAATTTCGATCGTCCCGGATCAGTCCGACGTCAAAACAAACACGTGTACAAGAAGAAAAAAAGAGAAAAAAGAGAAAATACTCGAAAACTGGTGTTTAAATCGGCCTTTATGCACTAACAAAAAGTGTTGGAAATGCGATTTTACATATAATATATAAAGCTAAAAACCTTAACACGAACCCTAACATGAGCCCGAACCCAAACCCTAAACTAAAGCAAAAAAATACGCCACACCACGTGATGGTCACGTTACTGCAAAAGTGTCTAGACCCCTGGAGGGGCCATAACATACAGGTGCGCGTTATTATATACTTATATGGTAGTATAACTTTATTAAAATTTTGTGAAAATTTTTCGATAATTCTTTGATTTAACGAAAACACAGTAGCTATAGTACTGTGATATAATTTAATTAATATTTATTTGTGTAACTAGGTGTTTGAAATGTTTAAAGGGAATCGATTAAGGTGATTGATGTATATAGAAGAGTACTTCGATTGATTAATGACCTTTATACTCACGTAATAAATTAATAGCTAAATTAATACAGCTAAGATAATAGTACATGCTATTAGTTGAATTGCTTTTCAAATACATTAATTAATTAAAGATTTTCATATTTATTGAATAAATTAATGCGGTCAAATAATATTGAATAAGAAGTAATGGATTTCTGCCATCAAACTTAATACTTGAAATTCTATAGATGTCTTTATTGACTAAACCTAAATAAAAAAATATATATTAGTTCTAATATTATATAGACATATCTTATCTATCTTATTCACTTACTTTGAGTTACTAAGATATCTATTGATCGAATGAAATTAATAAAGAAAATTCATTACTTTTATAATTTGGTTGTTGTTCAGATTCTGCAGTAAATATAAATTAAAAACTATTTTAACGTGTACATAGTGCACTGACTAAATACCTAAGACCATACAAAAAATTAAATAATTGTTTCTCATAACATAGAATTCTAAAAGAGACCCACCCACCCAACCGGCTTTTAATTTTTAAATCATAAAAATTTTATAAGTTTTTCTTTGTCTAGAAAATATTAAAAACGTATAAAAATTTTTATTAAAAACTCACCCGGAAGTATTTATAGTAAATAACTTATAAAAGTTTATATCGAAAATTTACAAAAACCGACCCAGCCGAGTTATGAAAAACATTTAATTAATTTTATATGGCCTAATAAAAAATTTACAAAATATTCATGGTTATCAAAAAAAAAAAAAAGCCTTGTAGATGGCCGAATATTTTAAACATATAGGCTGATTTTCGTAATTTATAAGTAGGGTTTATTTTTTAAAAAAATTTAAAGCTAAATAACTTTTAATCTACTAGCCTGTTTTAAATAATTTTGCTACCAAAATGTTCGTCTCATTAAAACGATTCCACCAAATCCAAAATTATTAAAATCCAATTACATGATCGCGAAACAATGCGCTGTCAAATAGTGACGCACCTAGAGGGTGGGTTGATTGGTTAGTCCTATGTCTAACCAATCAACCCCACCTCCTAGGTGCGTCACTATTTGATAGCGCATTATCTCGCGATCATGTAATTGGATTTTAATAATTTTGGGCTCGTTGGAATCATCTTAAAGAGACAAACATTTTAGTAGTAAATTCATTTAAAATAGACTGGTAGATCTAAAGTTATTTTGCTTCAAAATTTTTAAAAAATAAGCCCTACTTAAAAATTACGAAAATCAGCCCATATGATGAGTAATGAATGGGTAATTTAGTTAGTGCGCTACAATGTATTACAGTATATAAATTGAAATTTTCTTACTATTAGATTCAAGTAAATTTTTTAGATTAGGTGACATATTTGAAATAATTTTATAAGCTGAGATTTGAAGAAAGTAGAAGTGATTATAAGCAAAAATAGATAAAAATAAAATAAAGAAAATAATAGGATTTACTACAAACTTTGTGAGATGAACGCATGTCTTTTTAATTTGCTAATATTTTCGCTGAAATCTAATAAATCATATTAGAAAATAACTGACAGAAAAACTCATGAACGATTAACGGGTTAATTGAGTTAAAAGAAGTAATATACCTAATTGTTCGCCTATTAGCAAAAAAATAGTAGCATTATATGAAAGGTACAAAAATAGTTGAAAGTTCGAAATAGGCATAATAGAAAAAAAATTACCTAAAGCTATATTATTGAGATCTCCTAATGGATCTGTGATTACAAAATCCTTAAACACAAGAGTCTTCAATTCATCTATAGTTTCTGGACTTTCTTTAAGTCTTTCTTCAAACAGATTATATAATTCTTCTGATTTTGGACGTTTCAGTGGATCTGCATCCCAGCATTGTTTCATGATATTCTTGTAAAATTGAGGCGCTGTCTCGGGGATTGTTGGTCGCATTCCATCGCAAATATAAAGCAATAAGTTACTGCCATGATCTAGGTCGTAAAATGGAGGTGCACCACTACAGCATTGATACATCAACATTCCAGCACTATAAATATCAGTAGCTGTAGTATATTCACCCCTGAGCAACACTTCAGGCGCCATATATGCAAGATTCCCATACACTTCGTTTGATTCTTTTTTGGATGGTCCTGTAAACCCTAAATCAACTAATGCCCAACCACCATTTTTATACATAAAATTCCCGCAGTGAAGATCCTTATGTACAATCCCATCATGATGTATAAATTTAAGGGCGTAGAATAAATATGAAAGCAATCTGTAAATATCTTTCCAAGTCAAAGATTTATGATTTTTGAAAATGTAATCTCGCAAATCTCCGTCCAATTTTTTCAACACTAATATAAAATCTTTTGTTAGAGGATCTCTTGTTATTCCATAGCAATCCACTACTAAATAACCTTTTGAGGCAAGCATTATATGAGTTTTGAGCTAAAAAATTACTAGTAATTAGTTTTGTGAAAAAAATTATTACTGTATCAATGCCAAAATTGTTATACCTCATTTAAAAATCGTTCATTATTCGTGGCCGATCCTTTAAGATATTTTAAAACGATTGAGATATTTGGAGTTCGTTCGAACATTTGCTTCTTTTTATCAAACGAAGTAATAAGTCCATTTGTCCAAGTAGCTGTATAAATAGATGAGCATCCTCCTTGCTTGAGGAATTCAATATGTTCGAGATGAATATATGGTATCCATTCAGTCAGTGCACGCGGTAAAGGCATTTGTATTTGTGCATCTTGAATTGCTTCATCAATTTTTGGACTGTTTGAAGTCCAATTACTGAAATCTTTTCTTAAACAATCTCTCAAACAATGCTCACAATCATTGACAGTGTACCCAGGTTTTTCACATGTTGAGCAAATATATTTTGGACCCTTCTTATTCAGATTAAAAAAATTTTTATCCCAAGTAGATTCTTTTATGGCAAATTTTTTTTCTTCTTCATTTAATATAGTACTATTCTCTAATGAATATATAAGCTCTTCATAAATTTCATTCCAATCATCACCTTGAGCATTTGTATAAATATCGTTAATCAGACAGGTTATCAATTCTTCTCGAATATTTTTCATTATTTAAGTGAATTACAGTATATGACCTCACGAAGTGGTTTCAAAAAGCTTGAAATCTTAATTTATTATAAATTGTAACATTATATAGTACAAAATAAATGTGTATTCTGTGGATACAACTCCTGTATAACGAATATGCAATGAATATGCAATAATAGTAAATTTACTATCCCTTAAATAATACAAAGTACTTTTCGCTTGTATCCATGTAGGGGAGGTGAGTTATAAAAGTATATTAATAATATTATAGTAGAATTTTTAATATTAAAATTTAGTTATAAAGTAAATATTGTGTAAATTTTTTCTATGGTTTCTAAGCTGCTCATTACGTGAAAACATTTATTCAATATCATGTAAGAAGTGGACAAAGAAATTAAACATACTTAGTTGCATTGCTTCTGACCTTAATATAAATTCATTCCTAAAATTTTATTAACAGAGATCTTCATAGCGGAAATGTGCTTTTAGATGATCTTAATAGTGCATGTATTGCAGACTTGGGATTATCAGCATTAGCTAATGTGGAATCCGATAAAAGGGTGTGACATAATACCGTATATAGTACCTGAAGTATTATGCAGTGAAAAATACAAGTATATAGTAGTATGGCATCTGGTGTCTATTAGTGGCATACGAAATTGTATCTGGTTTTCAGGAATATCACGACGTTTGCATGATATCAAACTACAAATCGACATCTATAATGGATTACGCCCAAAAATTCCAAAGTATGTGTCAAATATAGTTGCTGCTAATAAGTAGATGTTTGAATTCTCAATCAAACAAAAGGCAAACTTAGAGCTGCAGACATTAGAATATCAATTAACATTTACTATGACGTTTGACGTGACGTATGTGACGTGACGTTTACTATGTTTATATATAAATTTTATATGACGTAAGGAGTGACGTACTACCTTGGACCTCTAAATGTTTGCAGCTCTAGGCAAACTTCTAAAGAAATAAGTAGTATTATGGGCATGTGAAATAATGAAATTCAAAAAATAAAATGAGTCAATGGAATTCGCTGAACAAATTAAGAAGGTTGATGAAATGCTTGATGATTCTTCGTTATCTCATTCCGAAATTCATCCTGAAACAGTTTACGTGAGCAGACAACTCGATCCTCTAAATATCAAGAATGTAAATATGCAGTCTAATCATTCAGGCTATTCGGGTATTATTACTTTTATAATATTGTAATTTTGTTTCAAATTTTGTCAATTTTAATAATATTGTCTAATTATTATAAAGAATAATCGTGATGAAAAAAGAATATTGAAAACTTAATAAACGTGGATCCACTTAGTGTAATCGACCCTGAAAAGATCAACATAACAAAGTCACTCATCTAAAATCTAATGAAAAAGATGAAGTTGAAGGAATGTTTACACTTGATTTTCATTATCAATATGTAATTGGAATTGGGAAAGATGAAAATAAAGCATTCATTTATTACCAAGCATTCGCTTATATGGGAATATTAATGCGATAAATAGCCTCGGAAACTGTATAAAATACAATTGCTTTAAAAAGATATAGTTATAAAATTTTGTTACCATTTAAGTTTTTTTAAATAGGACCTGAAATCAAATTGATTTCGAATCTATAGATGCTTTGTATCTATCTACAACAGTATTAAAAATTAGGAACTCTTTGCATGTTAATAAAAGTTTTTCTTACGGAAATTGTTATTGTCATAAAATCTCGAAACACAGTCAAACTTCTATATATGCCCTCCTTTTGGGACCAGCTATAAGTGTGCATTTAGAGAAAATAGGTTTATAGGTTTATAAGCATTATTAGAGTTTGACTATATCCGGGCGATGGACTTCTGAAATGATAATAATCAGGCATGGAAATCTGTCTTTATCACTAAGCATAGAAATTTTAAGGTCTTAGCCTTTTATACTGTATTCTAATAAAAAGAAACCTTTATGGACTATCACATGTAGAGGTCCGATCTGACGAATGATATATTCGAATATTTATTGAATATATACTATCTAATCGACCAATTAAATACAAGATCAGGTGTCAATATGTCAAGCTCAATCTTGTATTATGGTTGCTAATAATCATGCGTCCAAAGTTAGATGAATGAGATAAATCCTTATTAGTTAGAAGTTTTCTATCTATTTATTCATTTGTTAGCTTGCATATTTAAACTCAACAATTATTCGATTTCATAATATTGCCTCAATTCATTATTTGTTCTGATCAATATTCAACAAGTATTCGGTGAATATTTAAATATTCATTCGAAATTTTCTAAGATTGAGCGAATGAATATTCGAACACTTCTTTTTTTGACTGGATTAGACTCCAATCACATGAACGAATCACGTTATTTGTACACTGTTTCCGCGTTAATCAAAGTTCTGGACCTCACACATTGTATACATACGTACGTATACAGGTACCTTCAGATAAATCGGTTTTCATTTTCTTGAAATTGAAATGTCAAATAAAGAAAACATTAATAGTAAAACATTTGAAAAACAGCCAGAAAGGACTGTTAGTTCATCAGATGATATTGCTCAAATTATTGGTCGACTACATTCGTACATACATGCTTATAAAAATTTAAAAGACAAAAATGCAAAAATAATTTTTGAAAAAATTGAGCAATCTTTAAAACAAAATAATCAGAATCCAGATAATCTAATTAATTGGTGCTTTAATAATCAAACAAATCCTATATCTCAAAGTTTTTTAGGGATTTGTTATCTTTTTGGTAAATGGGTAGAAAAAGACGAATATAAAGCATTTCTTCATTTTAAAAAACTTTCTGAAATTGGGGAATCAGGTGGAATGAATATTGTTGGTTATTTTTATGATAATGGAATTGGTGTTGAAAAAGACGAGCATAAGGCATTTATCTATTATCAAAAATCTGCTGAAATGGGAGATGTTAATGGAACATTTAATCTTGCTCTATGTTATCTCAATGGAATTGGCATTGAAAAAGATGAACGTAAAGCTTTAATTTATTATCAGAAATCTGCTGAAATTGGAGATGCTGACGGAACGCTTAACCTTGGATATTGTTATGAAAATGGGGTCGGAATTGAAAAGGATCAATATAAGGCATTCAATTATTATCAAAAATCTGCTGACATGGGCAATACTAATGGGATATATAATGTTGGAGATTGCTATGCTAATGGAATTGGAGTTGAAAAGGATGAATATAAGGCATTCATTTATTATCAAAAGGCTGCTGAAATGGATCATGTTAAAGGAATATGTAGTGTTGGATTCTGTTATGACAAAGGAATTGGAGTTGAAAAAGACAAATATAAAGCATTCATTCATTTTGAAAAATCAGCAGAAATGGGAGATGCCATAGGGGCATTTAATGTTGGTTATTATTATCAGCATGGAATTGGAATCGAAGAAAACAAACATAAAGCATTCATTTATTATCAAAAGTCTGCTAATATGGGAAATGCTACAGACTTGGATATTGTTATAAAAATGGATTTGGCGTTGAAAAGGATGAATATAAAGCATTCATTTATTATCAGAAATCTGCTAAAATGGGAAATGCTAATGGGTTATTCAGTATTGGTATTTGTTATAATAATGGAATTGGTGTTGAAAAAGATGAACATCAAGCATTTATTAATCTTTATAAATCTGCAGAGATGGGACATGCTAATGGAACGTTCAATGTAGGTTATTGTTATAAAAATGGAATTGGAGTTGAAAAGGATGAATATAAAGCATTTATTTATTTTCGAAAATCTGCTGATATGGGAAATGCTGATGGAATATATAATGTTGGCTGTTGTTATGAATATGGGATGGGAATTGAAAAAGATGAGCATAAAGCATTTATTTATTATCAAAAATCTGCTGAAATGAAGCATGCCGAAGGAACACGTAGCGTTGGTTGTTGTTATCAAGATGGAATTGGGGTTGAAAAGGATGATCGTAAGGCATTTATTTATTATCAAAAATCTTCTGAAATGGGTGATGCTGACGGGACATACAACGTTGGTAACTGTTATCGAGGTGGAAGAGGTGTCGAAATAGATGAACAAAAGGCATTTAAATATTATCTGAAATCTGCTGAAATGGGATCTATCTCTGGGATGTCTCGAGTTGGTGACTGTTACCGAAATGGAATTGGAACAACAAGAGATCTACAAAAAGCCAACTATTGGTATCAAATGTAAATAAATTACTTAAATCTTTTTGTTTTTACAACAAATATATTTGTTTAATAATTCATGTATTAAATCTGATTATTAGGGAGAAGAATCAAATACCAGGTATCTTTGTTATTATTGCTTATTCAATTATAATAACGATCTAAAATTTTGTGTTCATTATTTAGCTACGTATGAGTGGGTTTATAAAGACCCCAATATTGATGATACTTTAAAAAAAATGCTTATCGAAAATAAATACCAATTATCATGGATTTCTTATAATGAATTTAAAAACATTACAAAGGTAGGACAAGGTGGTTTTGCAACAGTATATTCTGCTAAATGGTTTGATCAAAATCGAAAATTCGTAATAAATGTCGCACTTAAAATACTTCATGGATCAAAATTCCGTCATAAAGAGTTTATTAATGAGGTAATTCAATTTATCTTATTAACTTAATATTTATTTTATTGACAATTTTAATCTTATATTATTTTAAATAATAAGTTGAAGGCATATTGCGACATCGGTCTTAGAGAGCCTACCTTTTTAAAATGTTTTGGCATATCAAAGGATGTTGATTCCGAAGATTATATTCTTGTGATGAAATATGCATTAGTAGGCTCATTACGTGAAAACCTTTATTCAATATCACGTATGAAGTGGAAAAATAAACTAAATATATTTAGTTGCATTGCTTCTGATCTTCATATAATTCATTCCCAAAATCTTATTCACAGAGATCTTCATAGTGGAAATGTGCTTTTAGATGATCTTAATAGTGCATATATTGCAGACTTGGGATTATCAACATTGGCTAATGTGGAATCAGATAAAAAAGTATGTGGCATAATACCATATATAGCACCTGAAGTATTATATAGTGGAGAATATAGTATGGCATCTGATGTCTATTCATTTGGTATCGTGGCATATGAAATAGTGTCTGGTTTTCAGGCATATCACGACGTTTCGCATGATATCAAACTACAAAATGACATATATAATGGATTACGCCCAAACATTCCAAAGCATGTACCAACGTTAGTTACTGAGCTAGTAAGCAGATGTTTGGATGCTCAACCAAACAAAAGACCAGCTTCTAAAGAAATAAGTAACATTATAGGCATACTGAATAATAAAATTTCAAAAAATGAATCAACAGAATTCGTTGAACAAATAAAGAAAGCTGATGAAATGCTTGATGATTCTTCGTTATCTCATTCCGAAATTCATCCTGAAGCAGTTTACGTGAGCAGACTATTCGATCCTCTAAATATCAGGGCTGCCAATATGCAGTCTAATCATTCGGGCCATTCAGGTATTATTACTTTTATAATATTGCAATTTTCTTTCAATATTAACATCTTTAATAATGTTGTCTAATTATTATAAAAGATAACCGAGATGAAGAAAAGAGTATTGAAAGCTTAATAATAACGGATTCATTTGGTGTAATCGACCTTGAAAAGACTGAACATAACAAAATTATTCATCTAAAATCTAATGAAAAAGAGTACGCTGAGGGAATGTTTACACTTGGTTTTTATTATCAAAAAGGGATTGGAATTGAAAAAGATGAAAATAAAGCATTCACTTATTACCAAGCGTCCGCTGATATGGGAATTATTGATGCGATAAATAGCCTTGGAAATTGTTACAAAAATGGAATTGGAGTTGAAAAGGATGAACATAAAGCATTCCTTCATTTTCAAAAATCTGCTAATATGGAAGACCCTATAGGAATGTTTGAACTTGGTCAGTGTTATCAAAATGGAATTGGAATTGAAAAGGATGAAAATGAAGCATTTATTTATTACCAAGCATCCGCCAATAAGGGGAATATTATAGCGATGAATTACCTTGGAAATTGTTATAGAAATGGAGTTGATGTTGAAAAGGATGAACGTAAGGTATTTAATTATTTTAAACAGTCTGCAGATATAGGAAATGCTACTGGAACATTTTTTCTCGGACAATGTTATAAAGATGGAATCGGAGTCGAAAAAGATGAAAGTAAGGCATTTATTTATTATCAAAAATCTGCCGAAATGGGTGAAATTAATGGAATATATTGTCTTGGAGATTGTTATAGAAATGGAATTGGAGTTGAAAAAAATAATTATAAAGCATTTCTTTATTATGAAAAATCTGCTAATATAGGAGATCCTCAAGGGATGTATCAAGTTGCTTATTATTATCACAATGGTATTGGAGTTGAAAAAGATGAATATAATGCATTTATTCATTATCAAAAATCGGCAGAGATGGGGTATGTTAATGGAATATTCAACGTTGGTTATTGTTACCTTCATGGAATTGGAGTTGAAAAGGATGGGCATAAGGCGTTCAATTATTTTCAAAAATCTGCAGAGATGGGAAATGCTGGTGGAATATTTAGTCTTGGTAACTGTTATCTTGATGGAATTGGAGTTGAAAAAAATGATCATAAAGCATTCGCTAATTTTCAAAAATCCGCTGATATGGGGTATGCTAAAGGAATATACAGCGCTGGTTATTGTTATGAAAGTGGAATTGGGGTTGAAAAAGATGTGCATAAAGCATTTATTTATTATCAAAAATCTTCCGAAATGGGTCATGTTGAAGGAACATATCGTCTTGGAGAGTATTATCAAAATGGAATTGGGGTTGAAAAGGATGAACATAAGGCATTTATTTATTATCAAAAATCTGCTAATATGGGTAGTATTGATGGAATGCTTCAAGTCGGCTATTTTTATTTTCATGGAATTGGAGTTAGAAAGGATGAACATAAAGCATTTATCTATTATCAAAAATCTGCTGAGATGGGTAATTCTAATGGAATATTTGAAGTTGGCGTTTGTTATGAAAATGGAAATGGTGTCGAAAAAGATGAACATAAAGCATTTATTTATTACCAAAAATCTGCCGAGATGGGAAATGTCAACGGAATATTTAATCTTGCACAATTTTATCTTAATGGAATTGGTACTGAAAAGGATGAAAATAAAGCATTCATTTATTTTCAAAAGTCTGCTATGATGGGACATATTAATGGAACATTTAATCTTGGATGTTGTTATGAAAATGAGATTGGAGTTGAAAAAGATGAATATAAGGCATTCATTTATTATCAAAAATCTTTTGAAATGGGACATGCTGACGGAACATTTAATCTCGGACTATGTTTTCTAGACGGAACTGGGGTTGAAAAAGATGAAAATAAAGCGTTACTTTATTTCCAAAAATCTGCTGATATGGGAAATGCTAATGGAACATTTAATGTTGGGGTTTGCTATGATTATGGAATTGGAGTTGAAAAGGATGAACATATGGCATTTATTTATTATCAGAAATCTGCAGAAATGGGTAATAGTAATGGAATGCTTAACGTTGGTGACTGTTATGAAAATGGAGTTGGAGTTGAAAAGGATTTACATAAAGCATTCATCCATTATCAAAAATCTGCTAAAATGGGTAATAGTACTGCAATTTTTCAAGTTGGTGTTTGTTATCACAATGGCATTGGAGTTGAAAAGGACGAGCATAAAGCATTTATTTATTATCAAAAATCTGATGAGATCGGAAATGCAAAGGGAACTTATCAAGTTGGCATTTGTTATCAACATGGAATTGGAACTGAAAAGGATGAACATAAAGCGATCACTTATTTTCAAAAATACTCTGAGATGGAACATAATGATTAAATATTTAAATTTTGAAAAATAGAATTGGTTGATAAGATAAACATGAAGCATGTATTTATTACTAAAAATGTACTAATATGAAGCAATAAATGAAATATTATTTCAATATTGGCACACTGAAGCATTTACTATAAGGAATTGACTAATGGAACATTTATTAAATTATTCTTATTATTTTTTTTAAATAATTTACAATTTAAACATATATGTATTCTACTCTAGTATTCTGCCCTAAAAATGGAAGATAATTACCGTAAAGTCGCGAAATAACGTCCATGAGTGTTATTTCGGAAATTGCATCCTTCAAAAACATCATATTTTTGTTCAAAATAACACACATGCGTGTCCCTCACATGTTTTAGCGGATTTGAAATACTTTACGTACATTAGGCTCAAATTTTGACCCATTGGTTCAAAATAACGCGCATGAGCGTCCCAGAATAACGCGCAGGTGGATAAAATAACGCATAGGGGCGCGTTATTTCGCGACTATACGTGGAATTTAATACCCAATCAGCACCTTAAAAATCCTTTTATTTCAATTTACCTTACAATATTTTACTAAGCGTTTAGCCTTCAATGTACTACTAATATAAATATTTTAAAACTATAATCATATCATGCTTTCATTATTTTAAAATAAAATTTAACGTTTATTATGCTATTTACATATTATAAAAAGATTACTTGAAATTTTATAGACGCCCGTTATAAAATATTAGGTCGTCTGCAGGTGTTGTTACAGATTTTATTGTTAAGGCCAAAGATTCTGCGTTAGATGATAACTGATACGTTTATGTATTCAAATGGAAGGAATATGAATGATAGCAATTGGTTCGTACAAATACAATGAATCACTCACTACACAAATAGTGATTAAGAATATCTTTTATTCAAAATTTTTTTTTTTACAATTAATAACTTTATATGCAATGAAAATAAAACTAGATCAAAAATTTTCTACATATTATTTTAAGTAAATTCTATAAAATTAATACCATCCAACCAATAGCGAAATAAAATAAGAATAATGGATATACAGCTAATAGCCGACGATTTGATAAATGAGATGATGATAGAAAATTAACTGATGCTATAAAGAGCAAGATAATAAAAGATTAGTAATCTGAATTAATAATTATTATATACATTTAAAAATTAAAAGTTTTCTCACCCCAAGATGACCATAAAAATGCAAATACTACCAAAGGTAACCGTATGTAGACTATTTTTACAAAAATTGCTACAAATGCTACTATAACTAAAGGAAATATACAATAACCAATGACACAAACGCTTTGAAAAAAAGACCTAAATTCACCGATTAAAGATTACATATTAGATTAATTCATAAATTAGGGTCAATTAATTATTTACAACTTACACTTTGCCCCCCAAAAGTTTCGCATTTATCGTCACGATAGCTGACCCAAACCATACAATAGTGAAGACACTAGTAAACACCATAATTTCTTGTTCCTTTTTTGCACTAATACCTAATAATCTATAATATTATTACAACGATATAAGAATGATGTAAGGATTAAAAAATATCTTCATAGAAAAAAACAGTATCACTTACATGGCTAGTGATAAACAAAGAATTAATGGTCCCCACAAATCCCCTTTTAGATAATAATAACGATGTGGAATGATTTAATTAAATAATAAAAGTAACAAATAAATAGCAACAATAATCATGAATATATTTACAATCTCGTAGAACATCTCGGTTCCCTTTAGGATGAAGAACTTGTTGCAACTTAACTGCAACATTTTTCAAGTCTCGAAGCTTAATTATTATTATGATTTATTAGAACTATGTAAATATAAATATATAAGCATTAAAATTTTTAAACCTACAATAGTTTTTGAAACTGGTTCATCGAGGGTACCGGAAGCATAAAGTTTGGATTGATTAGACTGATTATTGGTTTCTACTAAGGGAGGCGATTGTGCATCAGAGTTAACAGTTGTTGTTGATTTTGGAGTAGCAGACGCATGTGAATGAGCGGATGAAAGGTCTACATCATCAGATTCTATTGTCATATTAAGATTAGCCGAAATAGCATCTTCGTCTACAGGAATTTCAAAAGGATTGGCATTTGCATCTCCTGCGTTGTGAAGTGAAGAATCGTTATTTGCTGATGAGAATTGCATGGTAGAGGTTGGTTTTTCTATATAAATTGCTAATTAAAGTAATAGTAGTCAACAATAAGAAAATTATTTTGGATCTTAGAACATTTTAAACCAACCTCTCTAATTCTAAATCGGGACGAGAAATTTTTGAGGTTTTTTTTTTTTTGGGTTCAAACTCTATTTCGACCTAACTGGAAAGCAACCAGTTATCGTAGCTATCGTATTAACGATAAAAAGTATCCACGTCTATAGGAAGCCAAACCCAAACAAAAATTTACAAGTATCTGGTAAAACTTGTATTTACATACGCACGTACGTATATGAATTATTACTTGTGTACGCATAAATATTTTTTGCATACGTATAGTACATAAACTACAAACAATCCCATTAATTGGTTCCCGACTTAAGCCAATTACATTCTGTCTCATGATCAGTGTAAGATATCTTGCATCACTAAATTCGTAGCAGATTTTTTTTTTTTTTTTTACCTTTCATCAATTATCGTATAACAAGATTATATATCAATAAAAAAGATGTTACAAAAAGTATTTGGGTAAGGTTCTGATGGAAACAGCTACATAGGAGATAAAAAAAGGTTAATACTCTAGGTTTATTTAATGAATGAATTGAGATATAAAATTCGTTACTGTCGATGATGATTAAAATGTTAAGGCTAATGAACTAAAAATGTTTTGGTCTTGATTACAAAAAAATGTTTCTTCACTTTGACCTGAGAACAGTATTAGAAATTTACATTATCGTTATGAGAATTCTAGTATGTTTGATTTTTAATTGAACCTTTATTGTTTTTAGAAATTTGTTGACTACAATACTTCGAACCAGGATATGAGATGTTTACGAAGGTTGATGAAAACTTCGGCCCGCTCTCTAATATTTTGACTAATAAATTTAAGTATATTGCTTAGATGTTGAATTCGAATATTAAATCCCAAAATTAAGAAATTCGATTCCAACTTCTAATCTTGTTTTTTTTTGATTTTTAGCGAAAATTTTGTATGACCAGTGGTTGTATGATTTTGTTTCTAATACTGGAATGTCACACCCTCAATAATAGTATGAGAAGGTTTAAAGTAGGGATTGGAATCGGTTTAACCGACTACTATGTTTAGTCGACTAATTAGTCGGCTAAACATAGTAGCTTACTATAAAAATTTTTTAGTCGACTAAACCGATTCCAATCCTTAGTTTAAAGAATGAGGCAAAACAATAATTTGTAGAAAATCACTGTGATGCAGGCCGATATCGTCTAATTTCATTGTATTGACGTAAATGTATCGAGCAAATAAAGAAAAGATCACATTAAAGCATCGCTTTTAAGTTGAGAAGGAAAAGTGTAGTAGATTAATTATTGATTTTTTAATTGGCTAGACGCGTCAAATTTTTTAAGAATGTGAAACGGTGTTGTGGGCAAATTTACTTTTCAAAATTCGAGATATTTTCTCCTAGTTGGAATATTTCGTGAAACATCTATACCTATTCATTTTATCTCTGTAAAGAAGTTTTAATATTTTCAAGCGATTTTTTTGGGATTTGCATTAATTATTATCTGCATTCTTTTATTACAAAGCATCTCGTAAATTTAGATGACTCGAAATTATACATGTTGATCTTTTAAAATTTAAATTCATTTAGGTGGCTAACTAATATTCATTTGTGCTTTATTTTTATAATACTTCATCATCAATATAGCAATAATAGTATATATTAATGTTAACAAAAGTGATATATTAGTCACTTTGTTCTGAATCATAATCGTCATCATCTTTTTCGGAATCTGCATCACCACTATTATCATCCGAATACAATTCCCCCTCCTCCTCATCGTCATCACCTTCACTATCTTCATAATAGCTACCGTATAGTTCACCATAATCATCTTGATAACACCCGTAAATAAATTCGTCTTCCATCTGTAAACTTAGAATTTCGTCCAACATCAAATCATCGTATTCATCAAAGTCATCAAAATCATCAAGTTCATTTGATAACGATTGATCTTTTACAAAGACAAGTTTCCGAAAACTATTTCGTGCCTTTTCAATAATTTCGTCAGAAAAATAATAACTATGTGTCAAATATAATTCCTTCGATTTTCCACCACAACGTTTAATAATAACTTCAAGATGTTCATCGGAAATAAATGATAAACCAGAAAAGTCTAATATTCTTAAATTAGTTGCCTTAAACTTTTTGAAAAGTTCATCTAATGATTTTGATGAAAATACCCAATTTATCTTTAATGTTAACATATGCACATTTGTTGGCATGACTTCTCCGAGTTGTCGTATGAAATTATTAGGATCGAAATATGCGATAGATGAATATACACGTTCAGGTTCGTGAGATAAATCTTCAATAAGGATATCTTGAAGTTCTTTACAAGTCTTCAACATTTCGAGAAGAAGAGATGTTTGTTGAATTACAATTGATCCATGAAATCTTGTAATCTTTTTACAATGTTTTATACAAGATTGGAAAATTGATTCGTAATCTTCAAGACCAAATAATTCTACTTGAAGCATATTTTCTTTTGCTTGAGAAAAAAGTACCTCTATAAAATGAGATGGAAAATCTCTACAAGTCTTTAATGAGATTCGTTTCATTTTTTGAAATGCAAATGATTCCATTTTATCATAATAAGAAAATACGAAATTATCGCAATATTCTATTTCTAATATTTCCAGACTCTTAAACAAAGCCAGATCATAAAGTTGGAAAGGAGATGGATTAAATATAATTGAACTGATTTGAATATGTACTAAGGTATCTACATGCATTAATGTACTCTGCCAAAGAATCGGAAAATCATCTTCTGATGATCCGATTAATATAACTTTTAAATTTCGTTGGCTTTCAATAAATTTTGACATGTTATCGATCGTGGATCCCATATTTTCATCTGTGCTTAACCAAATGTCTAAATTCTGAACTTTTTTAGAAATTTCCAAAGCAGATTCTAGAATTTCCGGTAAACATCCAACATTTCTATATGTTCTACAGTTGAATATTTCAAGTTGTGATAAGCTTTTCTTGGCGCCAGGAAGTGCAAAGATATTTATGCTATGTTCACAATCAATAGTAATTCCTTTTATTGTAGGTGAAGAAGATACAAAAAGTCGACATAACAACTCTTGTATTTTGTGAGACACACTCGATTGACTCTCATAGTCTGGAAAGTTTTCTGTAGCCCAACATCTAGCGCTATAAGAAATAATTGAATCATTGATATGCCTTAAAAAACTTGGGTAGTCAAAAGTTGCAGCTTTTAATGAGTTAATTGATTCAACACCAAGTTCATTTCGCATATCTTGAGGTAAACATTTAAGATATGTATCTATTATTTTTACATTTTGATCTTTTTTATTACAAGAATCAAAAGGATTTCGCCATAATTCTGAGATCACCGAAAGACACCAATGACGATTAATCAAGATGAAGACATATTGTGACTTTAAATCATCTTCCAATTCTTTGAATATTGATTTAAGGCAAAGGTCTGGAAGAGATGCTGCCATATCAAATTTCGATTCGTATATTGTTAAAAGGTCTTTGTGCGTATATACTGTAAATTCCTGTATTTAATAAGGTGAACCCGTTTTATCGGAATAATTGGATTTACGTCTAGATATTTATAGTTTACAACAAAATATTGTAAATGGTTTTATTTAAAATGGTATGTTATTAATAATAATATTTTTTTTTCTTTGAGACCTTATTCTTGTCTCCAAGGATTATATATACTATATATACAGTTATGTGTATTTTGATCTGTCTAACGGACTTGTTCTACTTGATCTAGAACAATAACATTTAACTAATACATAAAAAAAAAAAATTTTTTTTCTTTTTTTTACGACTCACCTAAAAAAAGAAGAATTTTTTTTTTTTTTTGAATTGATCTTGTTAGTGTCACGCTGTTATTATATCACGAAATTGATCTTACCCTAAAAACCCTGCGTCGTATGATCACTGGTCTTTTTTGAGAAGCCTTATGCTACACGATGGGAATTTTATTATAATCACATGGTAACACTATTTATTAATGCTGAGTTTTTTTTTTCTTATTACCCGTTACCAATGAACAAGTAAATTTAAAATCAGTAAATGTCGTTAGCACAAAGGAATAGTGATATATTTCTACAAATTTTGACTGGCACTTATACATATATCATGAATTTGTGATTTTTTATTAACCCGCGTCAAAAGATGCAATTTTGTCATCAAATCACATAGACGCTTACAATTATTGAATGCAGTATGCGATGCGTAGGATGTGCCATACATATATTACTCCCTCTTGTATACTCTTCGAAATTGTATACTAGCGTTTCACCATTGTCTAAGTTCTGTGGAACAGTCGACGAATAATTCGGAAAGCATTACATCATGATTCATCTTGAATCCGGAGGTTTTAATAAAAATATGGAAATAGTTGTGTGTATTTTGAAATATTTACGTAGAATAGTGTACATACATTAATATAGCATAATATATATATAACTTACTAAGAAAATATATATATATAATTTATTGTAAAACCAAATAAATCCCATTGGCACATGTTCTTGCATAGTTTGAGCGCCCCAAATCGTGATTGTTTTCCATCTGATCATCACATTTTGAACAGATGCCTGTTTGATATTCGCTTACCAGTTCAGCAGTTAACTCTTTGTCTTCAGCCTCCATCTTTGTTTTTATTAATAGCTTCAAATGCATGGTCTCAAGAACTTTCCATCTTAATGCCATTGTCATTTATCAGTAATCAGATCACATATTTTATTCTGGACCTGCTTGTAATTTATGCATAAATTCTATCATAGACTTGCATGAATACAAAATGTAGGCCCGGAATGAATGTAGTTAGGTTAGGTCGGAATTAAGCAATACCGATACTAACAGTCACACGATTTTGTCACGCGGATCAGGGGTAAATTTGAGTGATCGACATCCATACATACGTAGAAGTCAATTTTTAATACGTATCGGTATTATTACGTATTTATTATATACCTGCTATATGCTGTTTGAATATAAAATTATAACTCCGAATGTCTTTTATAATGTTGATACTATAATTAATAATATATATATTATACTAGGAAATCAGAATCTGATATAGGTCCGAAGAAACAATTGTTATACTGACTGCAGATCATCACAGGAACCGTCAATCCTCATGCACGTGCATTCAAGTTTACTAAAACAGTTGAGTCCTCGCTACGCTTCAGACAATTATATATAATTTTGGTAAGTTATAGTATGTAATTCTTAAATTCTTAACTTTATCTGTATGATCGACTACGTATTTTTTATAGAAAGCAATGATAAATGCTATTTTTAAGTTTTTTTTTTAAAAAACCATATATTAGTATATATAACATGGTATACTGTAGCAATAGTATTATTTTGCAACTTTAAAATATAAACTTACAATACTGTCTTTGCCGTCAATAGAAATCAAGCGGATTGACATTTTTAACTTTCACAACTTATATCTCGATAAATTCTGAGGTTATCTTGATGAATTTATATTCAAAAAAAGGTCTAGATCTTAGGATTTCTTTTGAATATTAATTCGCTAAGATAGCCTCAATTAATCGAGATATAGGTTATGAAAATTAAGGGCTAATTTTTTTAAAAATGGCAATTTGCTTGATTTTTATTGGTGGCAGCTTATTTGTTTATAGTTTCTAATATATATGTTGTAAGTGTTGATTTTACGTATCATATGGGCTGCCGTCAATAGAAATAAGGCAAATTGACATTTTAAAAAAAATTAATACCTTGACTTTCACAGCTCCTATCTCGATGAACTTTGAAGCTATTTTAATAATTTAATATTCAAAAGAAAGCTTACGGTCTAAGCTTTCTTTTGAATATTAGATTATCCAGATAGCTTCAAAATTCATCGAAATATGAGCTGTGAAAGTTAAGGTATTAATTTTTTTAAAAATGTTAATTTGCCTTATTTCTATTGACGGCAGCCCATATGTACACCCTAACCCTAATTTAACTAGGAAATTCCAAATCCACTTAAACTCCATTTCCATTTACGACATATATATATATTATATTTACCAAAACCCAAATTATGAATCTTTGAAATCTTAATCAATAAAATAAATAAATTCATTGATTATTTATTTGAAATCGAACCGCCACCGCCAGCTTTATTGATATAAATGATCATGCGGGCGGCTTCGCCGCCTGTTTGAATAATTGTGTATACAGAAGCAAAGTTTAAATAATTTGGAGATTGCTGATAAATTAATGGTTTTCATATTTCTAAATTAATTCGAATAAATGAGAAGCGTTACTTGATAGTAAATATTCACGAACTTGAATAATCTATTAAAATACCTCAGTCTATACATTATTTTTCACTTATATACTCTAAATTAACATAAAATTAATAATGAATTAATATCTCTCTACTGCTCACATAGCAAAATTAAATAAAATGAATTTAAACATCATGATGCTTAAATGCCTTATCTATTTAATTAGTGTAAACTAACGAATTAGAATCTTCTCGGATTAATTTGGATGAAATGAATACCTTAATTAAGTGAATAAAACTAATGTGAATAAAAATAAATGGGGTTTCAGAGTTAGCTTATTTGAAAATAAGTGGAAGTTTAAAAGTCCTATTTTTGGTTTGAAATTTTGAAACAGAAAATGAAAAAGGAGTTATATGGAGATAAAATAAATAAACTTTTTTTGATCATGTATATGTTGTAAGTGGAACAGAATTAAGTTGATTCAGAATTCTTTAGTTAAATTAGAATTTTAGGGTAGATTTTATCATATATAAACTTATTCCTAACCCTATCTTAACTAAGAAATTCCGAATCCACTTAAATCCCCGTTTCCATCTACAACATATATATTATATCTTATTATATAAATAGGCTTGCAAATAAAAATAAATAGGATTTATAGATCGCTGATTACAAAATTAATACGTCACTAATTTAATTCGAAATCAGAAACTTGAGCCTTAGCGTTAGGTCTGAAACCCCCTAATATTCGATAATTAATATAAATGGGTTTATACTGTATTTTTGCGTGAATCTTTAGATTTTTAATATACAAATAATGAATCAGTTCCGATCAACTCACCGACAATTAATTCACAGTCAAGGTTTGTTTTACAGACGGTTAATTCACAGGCAAGTTCATTTAATAGACAGTATTCAACAATAGCTCGTTACACGAGTTTTTTTTTCAATAAATTGTACTAACCTTATTCCAACGACAATGAAGAACTAATAATGAACTGTCGGTAAAATATATGAACTTGTCTGTGCGATAAATAAATCTTGTTTGTAAATTAATCGTCGGAATTAAATTGTCTATTAATGAATAACGGACGTTAATAATCAGTGAATAAATAACATATCAATAGATGTAATTTGATTTTTTTAAATTTGAATACCATTTTATCTATCAATCCGTTTTTGATGATTTTGCTACCAGAATGTTCGTCTCGATGAGTCTATTCTAACGAGCCCAAAATCACCCAAATCTAATCACTGGATCCCGAGATCGGTAAAGCTTTTACAGTGATAACGCACCTATAGGGTGGAAAAAATGGGTTAGACCGCAAAAAATCAATTTCGGGATCCAGTGATTAGATTTGGGTGATTTTGGGCTCGTTAGAGTCTCATCGAGGCGAACATTCTGGTAGCAAAATCACCAAAAACGGATCAATAGATAAAATGTTATTTAAAAATGTCAAATTACATGACATTTAAAGACTAAAATCACGTGAATTTGCCCATTTCGGGTTCTAAATTTAAAATTCGATTTTACATGAACAGTATTTCTGTGCGGTCACATGACCAACGAAATTATACTGAACAATTCTCAAATATCCAAATAAGTAATTACTAAAACTATATGCAACTTTTATATAACAAACATCACAACCAAAAAATAAATGAGTAGTTTCGATTTATTATAATTCTGTATTACATCATTAATACATCAATCATTAAAAATTATCATCCTTGTACTGTCCTCATATTTATTACTGCTTGTTCTATTTTTATATACTAATAGCTAATATTCTTCATAAATGAGAAAAGAAAAAAAAAGTGCAAAAAACAATTTGCAAAAAAAAAAAAAAAAGGAAAAATTTGCAACAAAAAAAAAAATTATCACATTATTGAAACACAGAATAATGAATTAACCAATACTTTGTTGGTATTATTGAGTTCTAAAACAAAATATAGTATATATAGTTTAGACCAATACAAAAAAAAAAACTTACAAATCAATATGAGCAATATTTTCTTGATTCTCTTGAATAAAAGAAGTTAATTCACTTTGGAAAACTCATCTATATAACTTAAACTTCTTACAAGCATATTCAGCCAATTTTTCTATCAGCCCTTCATGATATAAATCCATATATCACCAGGATTTTCAAGCAAATCTCTTAATTGTAATAATGTCAATAGAATTAAGTACCTGTGGACCAGTTTTTTGTAAATTAGCCCATGAATAATTGTATTGATTTCTTGCATAGAATTTGGTTACACTCCAATACATTTCAATAAAATTAAGTTCACAGTGATATTTTGAATAAAAAATATATAAGTTCTTTATTAATTCAACAATGGCTAACTTCTGTATAAGAAAGTCAGGTTGTAAAGCTATAATTTTTCTTGTATAACAATTTATATGTAAAGAATCATTCTCTAATTTTTTATTTTTATACAGTTTACAATCTATCTCTCTAAAGACCTCTTTCTTGCAATACTAATCTTAGTTTTTTTAGCTTTCCTCACATAATAGAATTTCACAGTCTTCTTCAAAAACTATCTGCTACATTCTTTCAATTTCTCCAGAACCAAAAAAAGTCATTGATCATATAAATTATACAAGGTTAATTATCATCTGAAATTCTGAATCTTGTGAATATATATGTGATATTTAATTAACCAATAAAATTTTGAAAATACATATTGTTAAATTCAATTGGTCAACCCAGGTTACATTTTTTGTCTCATTTGACATTAATATATAAGAATTGGGTATTTTTAACCAATTATAAATTAAAAATAAAATAAGTACTTTTTTAAAAAAAAGTCACTAAGTTATAGTAAGTAAACTTAGAGCAGTGTTATTTATCACCTGATTTTTTTTATTAAAGGCTTACTCCCTCCTAGTTTTTAATATATAAATTATCAGGTCTTATATATAAAATTTCAATTTTTTTGACCTCTTCTCTCCCTAAAAAATCACCTGATAATTGTTAGCTTCCTTAGTTACAATTTAGCAGCTTTTTTTTGTTTGTATTATTTTTGTAGTATAGATTATTAGTCTTTAAAAATTAATAAATTTATTTTAGTCTTTAAGTGTTATGTGCTATAATATTTTTGTTGGATTGTGATCTATGCAATGATGTCAGTAAAGTAGCAAAAAATCTTTCTAAAGACCTGATAGCTAAATATAAGGGCTTTATTAAAGTATATATTGTTTTTGTAGCAAAAACCTTGCAGGGGTTGGTATACTAAGTAGACTGGGAGTATTTAATAAACATTTTTAATATCTACTTTTGATAATATACAACTCTTGCTAAAGTAGTTTATCTATCAAATTGCATAGCTAACATTCTTGTATTTTATAGAGAATTCTTTATCAATTCTGTTATTTATACTGTTATTTAGAAAAGAGAATAAATAGTAAATAACTTAGTATGTTTTAGAGTTGGTATTTTTTTTCTCTACCAATCTATATGGATTAATTTGAAAAAGGTTATATAATACTTCATCTTCATAAAATAGATTATAAATATGATTATTAGCTAATTTATCTGTTATGTAGGCTTGAAATACTTCTAGATCAGTGTTGATTAAACAAAGGTTTTCTTGAAAGAGTTTTGAACAAGTTTCTCTAAAGTTAAATCTAAATTTGTATTTGATATCATTAGTAATATATTCGATGAGTTGTTGATTTGGGTAAGTGATAGTGAGGTTTTGAAATACTAAAATATTTATGAGAGTTTGTATGTTGAAGTGAATTGGGTTTAATTATACTAGTAGATTTGATTTGATATCTGTTAGTGAATAAAAAAAGATAGTATTGCTAATAGTTTTATTTACTAATTGTAAAGTCAGTATATTATTGGTTGTTATATTGTATAATAGTTTAAGCTATATAGAGTATTTTAAATGATTATTAGAATTATGTGAAGAAATTCCTATATGGTTGAAAGGTTAAAAAAGATAAAATATGAAGTGTAAACAGTGCATTTATAAGCTTATTGTGCAATGTAATTTTGTAATAAAAAGATAAGCTATATCAATATGCTTTAGTTTATATTATTTAATTGAATAATCTCTTTTTTTTTACTTTTTTTTTTCTTTGTAATGTCATTTTTAAAGTGGTGTTGGTTGCTGATGTGGTATTTTTTAATAGTAGATATATCAAAGTTTTTTTCTCTACTTTGATATCTATATCCATTAGTATTGTATCCTGGTTGGTTATTATATATAGTCTGCAGTCTTTATTATATGCTATTATTGCAAAAAAATCATATCTTATATATAACATGTTAATGTAATCATGATAGGCATTAAGTTCTTGCTTTCTGAAATTATATATGACTAAAACAGCATTTATGTACAATTTAGATATGAGCAACCAATCTGCTATGTTCAAAAATTTTTGGAAGTGATTATGTTTACAAATTGTGATAATACCTCCTTCAGTAGTTTGGAGAATTTGTTTATCGATGTTGTTTTGAAGTTTGCTTTTAAATTTTTATAGATAAACTTATATAAATTTATATAAAATCCAAAGGTGATAGCTTTCTATAAATGCTATAATTGTGCATATACAAGACCTGGGTCTGGTACATTCTACTAATTTTAAAACCTTTAATAGACCCAGAGATCTGTTGTACAGACATTGGTCTGATAATCAGATGAGGTTTTTATGTAGGTAAGATTTTTATACAGGTGGGGCTTTTATACACGGGGTCTAGTAACACAATACAAATAAAAAAAACATTGGAATGGTGAAATATAGTAGATATTAAATAAACTTATCTTCAGATACAATGGCAAATTATGAAGTAAAGTAAATAATTTTAGCAATGGTTTAGTAAATAAATACCAGTATGTGTTATGCCAACCAAATGTTTTTATACTAAAAACATAGAAACTTACACATATCAAATCATTTAAATAGCACACAACACAGTTACAATACTCATCAAAAAAGACAAATATTGCAGATTTTGGACTACAAAACAGATAAATGAGACATCCATGGCTTCAAATTCAATTTTTTATAGAATGCTAGCATACATCAAACCTAAAATGCTTTATTAACTTTAAATATAAGCGTAATAAAGGATCTGATATCTACAACTTTGAAATAACCATTAAGCAGAAATCAGTTATTTCAATTCTTTGATCCAATTTATAATTTGTTTTATATCCTAAAGAAAAAAAGAAGAGCCATCAAAAGATATACTGTCTTAATATATTAAACTTCACAAGTGATGTTAGGACAATAGTCCTGATGTCTATTATCTATTATAGCATTATTTTTATTGTTAAATATGAAGAGAGCTAATACCAGAATAATAAAAATGCGGTTTATGAAAATGTGAAAAAAATGATAGCAAAATTGGCAAATATTAGTTAATGATTTCATGAGGTTATAATTATGAGTAATATATACTATGAGGTACTAGTACTGCTATTTTATATATACAGATAATTGATTTATTAATATAATTAACATGTGCAAATTTTATTTTTCTATGTATAATTTAAAAAGGTTTTTGTGTTTTTTTTTAATCCTGTTATGTCTTGAATAAATCAAGTTTTTTTAGCAATAAGATAATAAAAATTTTATTTGTGCATAATTATATTTTTAATTTTTATATTTTTAGTAATAATATGAGACAAAATAAAACAAAAGAAAAGCAATCGAAAGTCACTAAAAAAAAAAAAGAAGCTGGAATGCACATAAAAAATTAGTGATTGTTACATACCTTGAAAAAATCTCATGGTTAGTAAATGAAGTGCTGCAACACAATTTAATATAACACCAAAACAATTACATGAGTGGATTAAGAAAAAATTGAATTAAAAAATGTTCCACCTTATATAAAATGGTTAAATATTGGTGTGCATTCTAAGTATCTGCTTTTAGAAGTTGATATTAAAAATTAAGTTAAATCTTTATATTCACAACAAAAAATTGTGTCTCTACAAATGATTAGAACAAAAGCTAAACAACTTGCGAGTCAGCCATGTTTTGTTTTACTTTATCTAACAATCAATAAATACAAGTAGGGCGAAAAGTGAGTAGAAGGCTTTATGCGTCATAATAAATTTAGCAATCAGCAGTGTACTACAAAAATTGCCAAAGGATTTAGAACCTCTAAGGGATGAATTTTTAAGTAATATACTATATCATCGTATGCTTTACAATTATTCTCTTTTGCTCATTAGAAATATGGATAAGACTCCATTAGCATTTGATATATCTAGCAATTATACTGTTGAAGAAACGAGTGCCCATACTGTTTCAATCTGTACAACTGGATATGAAAAGTCCAATTTCACAGTTGTTTTAGGTTGTTTGGCTAATAGAACCAAATTGGTTTTTATGGTAATTTTTAAGTTGGTAAATGTACCTCGACAAACATTTTCTCAAGGTATTGTTGTAAGAGCTAATTCAGAAAGCTACATGAATTCTGATAAGATGATTTTTTGGATAGAAAATATTTGGAACCATCATACTCTTTTGTCTGTTAATCCTCGTTTTTTACTTGTTTTGAATTTATTTTGTGGTCATACAACAGATCTGGTTAAAACCAGATTTAAAGAAAAAAACATCAACATTGCAGTAATTTCAGGCGGACTAACTAAAAAATTGTAGCCATTAGATGTATATATCAACAAATCTTTAAAGAAAAGGTAAGATAGTACTGTATTCATATTAAATCAAATTTTTAATTTTTTATTACACAATTATGCAATAATTACATCATAATTATACAATAATTACACAATAATTATACAATAAAATTAAGTATTGCAAATATTATCTTGATTGGATGGGAGAAGAAGTTAAGAAATTAACACCTAATGGTTGTATTCAGTGTCCTGCCTATAATATAGTAGCTGAGTAGATAAAAAAAGTATGAGATCAAGTTGATACCACCATTATTAAATGATTATTTAAGTATTGCAGTATTTCTACCTCTCAAGATGGTTCCAAAGAGGATGTCATGTTCAATTACGAGTGAGTAAATAACCCAGAAGCTCGAAATAAAAGAAGTAATTTTGTATATGCTAATGTAGAAAATTTTGATGATAATGAAAATATCGTTAATTTAACTCAAAACGATGATGCAAATATGAACAATGATAGTAAAGAATAATTAAGAAATACAGTTTGTTTATTAAAAATGAAATATATTAACCATTTTTATAAATTTTATAATTATGATTTATTAGGCTGTAGTGACAATTTATATGAAGGCAAAGATAGCAGAAATAAGAATAGTTTAAATGAAGCTAAGAATAAAGATGATTGGAATAAAGATAAAGAAAATGGTTAGAATGATGGTATTGAAAATAGTTGAAATGAAAATGATGAGAATGAAGGTCGAAATGATAATTAGAATAAAGATAAAAGTGAATATTCAAATGAAGTTTGGAGTGAAGATAGAAGTGAATATCTGAATGAAGATTGGAATAAAAGTAACGTTAATAATTCAAGTCACTCTGATGAGCAATTTAATATGAATAAAAAAGATACATATTTCAATAATGAAGTAGATACATATTATGATGATGAAGTAGCCAACTTATACATGCCAATGAAATTATTTCGGGTTCAAAAACCCGAAATTAAAATTTGAAGACAAAATTATTTTTGACCTATTTTACTTAAAAGACGAAATTTTTTGACACTTTTTTTGAATAGACAAAATTATAAGGAGTATAAATATATAAATTTTATTTGCTCTTTTTTATAAAAATTTTAATTTGCTTTAATAAAGACGAAATAGGCCTTTTTTGAAAATCAATTACAGTGGTATCACTACTCCAGATGCTGTCGCAAACTTAAAAAAGGCTCAGCAAACTCAAAAAATAAAAATACACTAAGTAGCTATCTAGTACAAGTAAATAGCACCAGGATGTAGATTAGATTTTCTGAACACGTGATGATCTACAGCAAATTATCCAATAAATAATCGTGATTTGGTGCAACGTAACATGATTAGAAAAATTTAAAACAAATATTCGCTTTGTCAAAAATCACTTGTTTTTCAAAAAGTAGTATAAGAAACTACTTTTAGTGCTTTAATAAAAAGTTTCCTTGAGCGATTTTACTATTAGAACTTCTCTAACCCTAACTTTAACATAAACCTAACCTTGATCTAAACGAACTTAAAAGAATGTTTCGATTTACACATGATCGAAAAATAAATCCTACATTCTGAATTCGTGGTACAAGTAAAATCAATTTTAGGTACAGATTTGGCAATCGAAACAGACAATCTAAGTATAGAGAACTTGAAAGGTTGGGCCAAAATTCTTCACAAAGAATGGTATCTAAGAATTAGAAAAGCTAAAGAGACAGCAATAAGAAATTGTATAGAGGAGAGACATGACCGCATTGTGTCTGATTAAAGAAGAATGTTGAACAGCCTGCTAGACCGACTGAGTAGAAAGATTAAAATAGATAGAGTAGTCAAGGATAATGAAGGTGAAGCCGAACTAGTTTACGAGTCTGCTAAGATATTAGAAGAAGTTAAAATCACTTCGCAAAGCAATTTCGTAGAAGAACACAGTGAATCCGAATAAGCTACCTTCAAGATGGAAGAAGCAATATACCCCAAGAGAGGATATAGAGAAAGCCTGGTTTGCAGATCTTACAAACGAGGCTAGTGTTGCAGAATGAGATGCTGCTCTAATACAAGCCAAAGCCAAGTCAGCTCCAGACACATCTGGGATCACCTATCCTCTGATTAGAGGAGTTAGAAGTTATGCAAGCTCTGTGTTTTGTAAATTAGCTACAGAGTATATTAAAAGTGATTTGATGCCAAAGAAATAAAAACTTGAAATTTTGTATCTAATACCCAAAACAGAAGAATGATATTACAACCTGAACAACGTATATCCAATTCTACTCCTAGAATCTTTTAGAAAAACAGTTATAAAAATAGTAACGAACAGGCTAGCAAAAGTAATAGGTGAAAAAATATTCTAAAAGGCAGAAATTTTGCTGGTTTGCCAGGAGAGAGTACTGCAGCACCTGTGCATCTTCTAAACTGTCTGCTGGAAGAAGCAAAAGAAAAGAAAAAAGAGATATGGTTGATGTTTCAAGATATGCGAAAGGTATATGATTCTGTAGGAATCAAGATGCTTACCATAGGTTTCCGAAAATAAGCTACCCTTTTTTGGCCAAAAAGTTATACAAAAATCCTGGGGGTAGCTTATTTTCGGGTAAAATTTCGAAAGGTTGATTTTTATTATTTTTTTAAAATCCGAAAGTAGTTTCTATATATAAAAGTCAAAATTCTACTAAGTAAAT